TGCTCATTATTCACTGAACATCTATTACTGAACATCCATTAATTGTCAGACAGCTTTTACTTGCATACATACATTTTTAATCACATGTAACAACTCACCTTAAGTTCTATATTTGCACAAAGGTTCCACAGTTCAAGTCTACTGTGTGCTTTCTCGGAATCAACAAACGTACAGTAAACATTCTTTGTCATATTCCTACAGAGCTGCTAAAGAACAAAGATCTGTTTTCCATGCTCTCTATTATAAACCACAATGTACTTCCTAAAAGTTGCCAGCATACAAATAATACTGTCAAGTAGAAACAAACTAAAAAGCAATCAAATTATCAAGAGGAATCTATATATATCCCCAATGAGGAAACATTACAACACTTTTGAGTTCTAGCTTTCAAAAATGTGAATTAGGAATGGTGGCGGCAGGATATTACCCAGCTCTATGTAACTATAGATACGTATGTATAAAAAAATTGATAGGGGGCTCCTAGAATAAAAAGTCATTCAAAAAATACTGAATCATGCAAAATTCAAGACAGATAAAATGAATTTCCTTTTTATGTAGCATTAATTAAACTTTGCTATTATAAATGAATTGATAGCCATCGAGTTAATAATATTTAAAATGGAATGAGAAATACTGATGGAGGATAAGGTTATGACATTTATATATGAATTCCAACATTTGATGCAGAATCAATGTGAATTGTGGGGTATCCTGAATGTGAAGCTTGCTATTATCTGTATGTAGATTTCCTAGAGCACTTAATCGCTACCATGGGAACAGAATGCTGGAATTATCTTTGGATCTCACACCCAGAATTCTCTTAGAAGTTTGGAATGACTTTTTCTGAAGCTTTTGATTGATAAGGTATTCCAAAAACTGTGAATCCATTTTCTCTGTAGAAAGAAGACAGATAATCTGTAGACTATAGCCTCCTTTTTTTATCCTTGGATGATTTCCAGATCATACTGTACGTTTAGCAGAAACATAACCAATGTTTAGGAGTGCTTACACTTCACTATCCTTTTTTATGGATTTGGGGAAAAAAGGTACATGGTGGAAGGGAGTGAAGCTATGTTTTAAAAACAAGACACTTTTAAGGGGGAATAAAACAAAAATACTACTGACCTTTACCCTGCTATTTTATGCCCTAATAAAAAATATCAACTGGACAAATGTTTCAGTAATAGAATGCTGGATTGGCACATTTATTATCCACACCTCATTTACAATTTTGCTGCTTTAGAGCTGTGAAAGTTTCTGGAAACTGCCTACTCTACAAAGCTCCTCTGTTCTCAATAACCACACATTGCAATTCACTTGTCTATCCTCCCTGTAACTATTGTAACTAGGGCAAAAATGCAAAGGACACTCAGAAATGGTCTTATAACTGCATTAACCTTTTTTTCTTAGTTGATCGTTGTATGTTTGGAAAGGAAAAAAAGAAGCAGTGATCTTTTTTTTCTTTCTTTGCTAATTGTTTTGTAATTCTGTTCTTTTACAACATGACTTTTTATTTAGCTTTTCCACTCTTAAATCACCACTCTATACAGCTTGAAAGTTATAGCTAGTTGAAAATAAGTGACCCAAGCAGGAATGGGTGCATCCAAATATACTCAGGCAACCCCAATGATTTGAGAGCTGGATTGGTTGCCAGTTGAGTTCTGGGAATGATTCAAAATGATAGTTATATCCTTTAAGACTCCACATAATTCTGGACTGGGTTATCAGATAAATCATCTTCTCACACATTCATTTTCCTGTTCACATTGAACAGAATCAACTCCCTCCACATCCTATCTACATTGTCATCTGATGGGGCCTCAAGTGGGCATTTTTAGTCACCATTCCCATACTTTGGAATTCTCTTCCCATGGACAGCCAGTCTGCATCTTCCCTCCTAGGCTTTAGGAGAGCTGTAACAACCTGATTGTTCCATCTAATGCAAGAAAAAAGCATTTGTGGAGTAAAGATTAGAATTTGGCAGGCTCATGAAATTGAACAGTTTCTATTTATTATTTTGGTGTCAGTTTTGTTTGTTTTGTTAACAGTGGATTTATTTATTATTTTTGAGAGGCTTGCTTTTTATGTTATGCTGATCTTCACTGCTGGCTGCCTAGAGCTTTTGGGAAAGGGTGGCTTACAAATGCAGTAATAAAGTAATAAATAATAATAATAATAGGGATGGGGAAGATCATGTGACCAACGGGCCACAGGTTGTCACTGTATTAAAGGGTAACCTGCAGCAAGAAATGCAAATTGGGTCAATATTTGAAATAGAAATTGGCCGAAGGTGAACAGGCTGGGAATCTTACTCCATCTCCATCTCCAATACTTCTAATTATATTTTTAAAAGAAGTCAGAAGAAAATTATATAACATTAAGTGCTTTGCCCTAATAAAACCCCAATATGAAATCTGAATGCCAAGCAAATGGTGTGGAGAAGAATAGGAACAGAAGAGAAGGATGCACGATAGTGAATGGTACAGAGTATCTACAATCTATACAATCTATATTTATAATTTAGCTATAAATAGATGTATGGACAGCAGTTCCTAGTGATGCTGAGTCCCATAGCTCCTGCCAATTCAATACCTTTGCCTGAGTCAGCATTGTACAATTCATTAATTATTAATTCCTCATTAACCTTTGTGTCACAAGAACAATCCATTCCCAGGCCTTGGCAATAAACCCCTGTCTCTGGATCCATCTTACATTTGTACCAGATTAATCAACCTGGGTTTCCCTGTTCGGTATTTATAAATCAAATCAGGTGCCATGTTCCACCTATAAGCATAAGTTAGATCAGCAGAAAAGAGTCCTTCAATGGCTATTATTTCACCATCTAGAATTTGAGAATTAAATGGTGACATGGCCCATCCACTTGAAATGACTACGGATAGGCAATCTGCTGGGCAAGAGGCCAGAGAATAAATAGTAAGATGCATCCCCCCTGTCTCCACGGACTCACATGCATCTGGTCTCCAGGGCAAAAATTGCCCCTGAGGAAAAGAGTAGTCAGATAACACTGAACTGGACAGAGTATATAAAAAGCAGCTCATCAAAGCCTCCCCACCTTGACACCACCAACACAACTTGATAAGAGAAGGGGGGGGAGCAGGATTTGTCAGTGAGAAGAGAATTAAAGAGGCCTGCGTTTCAGCAAGTCCTGCCAGGTTAATACCACTGCCTATCTCCCTGACAGCTCCAAGATTGATTACCAGCCTCAGCACTCTTTATAACTTGATCAGGCGAATTAATCTCTGGCTGTGGGCCCATCTGATGCTTGGCATCGCAAATTTAATTTGGAAATGTAGCAGCTCTTTTACTATTCTCCCCTTCTTTTTGCTGCCCTCCTCCCCATATGCATGTAGCAAGGATGGTGTTGCCGTAACAACAAGGCCTAGAAATGGCTTCTAACTTGAGGCCTGAGCTGTCAGGGCTTCAATTGTCTCAAGGGAGGTGTTTCATCAGGTATGGAGAAAAAAAAGAGTCTTAACAGACACTAAGTAAGACATATTAATGTACTAAAGACTTAATGAAGTTTGGAGGGTGGGGGTGTAGAGGGGAAAGTGCTTACTTTATTAGTTTATGGCCGATTAATGGGGATGGTCATTACAATGATGGTGATGGATTACTCCCATCAAAGTGTTTCTGCCATCCCTACTCAAATCATAGGGCTGCCTGATAGGAAGCTTCATCTTGGTCAGCCTCTGAGATCTCTAGTTTTTGAGTATTCCTGAAAGCGAGTGTTTATACGAAGAGATAAGCGCCAGTGAAGGATCTATATATCTCTATAAGTTATATTTCAATAACATTGATATGTGTGTGGGTGTTTGTGAGTTGATGCACACACCTGTGTGAAAGTGCATGCGCAATGATGAATAGGAGAATTGTAACTAGTGGTTAGAGCACATGCACATTGATAAGCCACACCTGCAAATCAACAGCAATTCTACCTTCTCCATGCCCATCCACACTCATGACCAGCCCATGAAACACCTCTTTAGGGAATTTTCCAATTTCATAAAGGGTCACACAGGCTCTTGGAAAATAGAGGACACATTTGTGTTCCCTTCCTGTCACTTTTGCCAAGAGGCTGGAAGACTTTGGCTGACTATAGACATAAGTGTGCTTATGTGTGGCCTTTCTTATCATAATATGTGTGATGAATTCTCTATTTGTAGGAGTACAACCTTTTTCATACTGGCTGGGAAATTCTGGGAGTTGAGGTGCACACATCTTACAGTTACCAAGGTTGAGAAAAATTTTCATAGAGGGAATAATAAGTAGTGGATGACAGTTGGAATGTGTATTGTCTTGATCATGAGGCACAACAGATGTTTCTGAGGAGATGAAAGAAAAAATAGTAGTACAATCATAATCTTCAGTTAGTGCTCATGCCTCTCTTATAAAAAAAGGCCTCACTAGGAAGGCTTAAATCAAAGTAATTATTGCATAAGAGCCACAAACTCTTAATGTCCTATAGTGCTTGTCCAGATTTTTGGAAACTCAAGTTTACCAGCCACTAAGTATTTATTTATTTTGATTTTTATTGAAACATTGTGAATGGAATGCTCATTGCCCTGTCCTGTGTATCTTAGCTATGATCCTACAAGGTAAATATTTGACCAGACCTGAAAATAGTTTGAGTGGCATCTTGCACCTTGACAAAGAGTCCCTACCTGCATGTGATTCCTTTTGAGAATAGATGATAGGCAGGAGACTGTATTAAGTGTAAAAAGTGTGAGGAGAGTCCAAGTTTTGTTTGAAAAATTTTCCTTGCTTTTTGTTTGTTTCTTTTTCCTTGCTCCTTGTAAGGAAGTAGTCTGCCCTTGGATTATGAATTATATTATGGCCGGGCATATGACTGGATCTCTACAGCAACCATCAGGATTTTAGACTATATATAGTCTATAAGATTTTAGACTATCAATAGCTCTAGCAATCTTCTTGCATTCCAAACTCTAATATGAAATTACATTATGCTGTGCAATATTTTCTTTGTATGGATAAAATGTTCTTTCTCCATAATTTTCCACCAGAGTTGTAAAATATGAATTTTTTAAAATATAACATGATGGGTGAGTTGTGTGCTAGGGACTGAAGGAACTGGAGACTTGGAAAATTGGTAGTCTGCTGGCTTAGTTGAAAATGCTGAAAAGTGGACAGAACTCCTGGTGGTTCCTGGATGACCGCTTGTTGCACACCTTGTGAGTCACCGAGTTTGGACAAGTTATATCAGTGGTTGCCAACCAGTGGGCTGGGGACCATTGGTGGTCTGCGAGAAAATTTTGGTGGTCCTCAGAGAAATGTTCCCCTCCCCAAAGCAATTAATCCAGGCTGCATGGGAACACAAGGCTGCACCAGCCACATGTCCCACCCACCCACTGGCCCCCACCCTTCAGCCGGGTGCAAACCTTGCGCTGAGTAGAGCCACGCGTGCTGAAACTGGAAAGTAAGACTAATGGCAGGGGAGGGAAATCTGCCCCGGGGTGGCTTGCTGATGTTGGTGGGAAAGTCAGTCCCATATTCCAGAGCTGCAGCAGTCACAGGACTGGCTCTTTGGTCATCCCGGAGCAGCTCCTCCAGTCCATGGCAGGCCGGTGCACCCAGGTGAAGAAGCAGATACTCCAGGATGACCAAAGGTCTAGTCCTGTGACTACTGCAGCTCTGGAATATGGGACTGACTTTCCCACCAACGTCAGCAAGCCACCATCAGTCAAAATTCATATATGTGGTCTGTGGGATTTAAAATTATGAGTTTGGTGGTCCCTGAGGTCCAAAAGGTTGGCAACCCCTGAGTTATATCTTAGAGAATATCAATCTGATATTCAAGAAAATATCTATTTATCAGATTTCTAAGGAAATATTTCTTACTAATGAGAACATCTGATTAATGAATCAGAGGGCTACATTTTATCAGCTAAATAAAATGACAAATATTACTGTAACTGATCACTGGGTTTCTATAGAAATCCAACTGAAATGTATTTGTGCTTCACTTGATAAAGTTCCCATTGCTGGGTTAGACGTTACGTTAATCTACAACCTTTTGTCAATCACTGAGTAAATTAGATCCTTCGTAGTGAAGTGACTAAAATTAGATTAGCCAGCAGCACCCATGTGCTCAGAATGGGCTTGATTAAACTCCCATCTGTGCATTCTTGACATTTGAAGAGTTGATTTTAACTAGTGTTATGAAACTGGGTCTGGAAGAATAAAGAAGGAAAGATCATAATGGAGTCCCTTTATTAATACATTCAACTTATTAATGTCTCCTAAAGGCAATATGTTATTTATAATTGTCAAAGCAAATCTGGTGCTAACTACTTTTCAGTATTATTTTAAAAACTAAGATTACAATCTCAGAACTTTTGACCATGTGGACAGTTTATAATTTTATTGACTTTTTTCTTGTTTATTGAATCTTTATTGGGAATTAGGATGGTAGATTTGCTCAGTGAATTATGGCATTAATAGAGTCTAAATAAATATCAATTATATTCATTGCTGATTGGTGATTTATTAAAGCTGATATTAAACTTTGTTAAATTGTGGAAATACTAATACTTTTTAAAAAGAAGCAGGATAGTTATACTAAACTTTAGAAACAAATAAAAACAAAAACATTTTATTGTTCAAATTATCAAATTATTAATCAGATACATATGTTTGGGGAGAAAAGAGATAATTTGATAATGACTGTAAACATCTGTGATGTAAAGGAGAAGCTATCTTTATATTCTATGTCTTGTTTATTTGGAGAATGAGCTGTTCATAAACAATTAAAGCTTCAGCAATAAACTTGCATGAAGAATTTGTATGAAGCAAGTATATTTCTGTTTAAAGGCACAACATACAGAAGCCTCTATTTTATTTAAGAAATAATAGTTATTATAGAGAGCCACCAATGTTTTTATTTCATGTGTTTTTTTAAATTTGCAAATTGTTTATCCTCTTTCTTCTAAGTCCTCTCTAAGTTTCCTTTATCTTTTCCTTACAAGGAAGGTCAATCAAGTCTTTATTTATCTTGGTAGATTTCAAATAAATAATCATTTCATCTTTCTTTTTTGTCTACAATTGCTTGAAAGAATCTGTCTATTACTGAACTACCTTGCAAGTATCAATGAGAGTTGTCCATGGACAGTCTAGGGTACCTGTGGCAGAGTTGGGTGTGTGTGTGTGTGCTGAAGGAAACAGCTGGATTCATGTTTTAGCACCACGGAGAGCTACTGCATTTGCTTTGCTTCTAGTAGGACAGTAAGTGTAGGTAAATAATTTTCCTTGACTAATACTTTTAAAATTGTACTAAGTGTTATGCAAAGGTTGATTGGGTTCTCAGCTTTTACAAAGCTGTAACAAAGACATATTTTGAAACTGCTTCAGTCTGAGGTGTTTGTATATATTCTGCGCATATGCAGAAGACTCCTCCCAAGCATATTCGCAAGAATTCAGAAGGATATAAAGTGCTCCAATAAAACAAAATACATCATTGTTTCATCTCATTGAAGAGAATTGTGTCATTAACATGACACAAAGCATTTCAAGTTAAAGCCCAGCAGTCTTGTACAAGCCTCATATCCATTTTCAGATTTCACAGAATTATTCGTGGACAGAATTCTTGAAGTAGAAATGCTAATTGGATAATAGATCCAAGAAAAGAGGTAATATTTATTAGGCCGGTGTGAAGTGCTTATAATTTGTCTCAGCCATATGTTTTGTGCCACAAGGGTATTGCTATTCACCTTGTCAAATCACAACAGTGAAAGTATGTGCCTTGTCAAGGTGTTTTGAATTGCTTCAGCAACTTCCTCTGGCTCATCCGTTCAATGCAAGAAAAGACTGTTGGAGTGATGCAAAGTAACCCAATGCAGCAACCCAATCACATTAATCTTAAAAATGATGGTGGTGAGGTTGTATTCCATTGAAAAAGCAGCTTTAAAGGTGCTTTGTTTAAAGGTTAATCATTCTTCAAAGTTTGTACAGTCCTAATATCTATGCTATTTATTAAAGATTATTAAGTATAACATTATTTTACATAAAAGTTATTCCCATTTCTGATGTTTTTCATCCAATATCAAAAGGCAGTTTATGTGACAATCTCCATTTTTAACAAGAAGTAGATTAAGTAGAAAGAGAGTAATTAATCCAAAATGATCTAGTGGGTTTCTGTGACTGAGAATTTGTATGAATTTGACTTCCACAATCCCCATTCAATAACTTAATCACTGTTCCATTGGTTTTTCCTTATCTTAGATGCAAATAATTCATGTAAAACAAAGAATAATTCCAAACTATCACTGAAGTTTCATCTCATTCCTTCCACCTGCTTTGAATCTGATTTTTATTCCATGAAACACAGTGCAAATTCTCCCTCTCCTCCTCTTCCATTTTCAATAGAATCAATATTTCAAAACTGGTGTTGCACCAATCATACTGCAATTTCTATAACCCCTACCCCAAATTAAAATATAGTAATGTTTTCTGTGATCCTTGTCTTGATGTGTAAACTGAAAAGATTAAAGTTCCATAAAATTACTCATAAACTCAAGGTCTTTCTTTACTTGGCCCTATGTATGGCAGATAATTATTTTGGTATCTTTTTTCTGCAATCTCCCCGTGATCTTGCCCCCATCTCATCCCCAGTTTATGACTGAGTCAGTGAATTCCCTCAGTGAATTCAGTGGAACTTATTCCCATTTAAGAACCTGAACAGGAAGACATCCTTATTTTCTGTGGCCTTTCCAATAGTTAGAAATAGAAAAATCATTTGGTCTATGCTTCTTTGCTTTTTTAGTTCATCTGTACTTTTTTCTACATTCTAGTCCCTGTAAAACGATTTACAAGCTCCCCTTCCCTTCCTGCTCTTTTTTTGCAAATGAAATACTTTATGCAGAAATATATATATATATATATATTTGTTTTCTGAGGTTCTCGCGGGTATTTATATGTGGATCTTTGGTTGTTCGGGTTTTCTCCCGCGTAAGATTCGAAGTATCTAGGCAACGTTTCGATGAAGTCTCATTCATCATCTTCAGGCTTCTGTCTCCGGCTCTGTGCTTCTCAGAGTAATGGAGATTGCAGCTGCTTCCTCCTTTTAACTGCCAGTGGGGGTGGGACTTGATTGGGTGGGGGCTTGGCTGTGTTCTGATTGGGTGGGGGTGTGTTCTCATTGGTAGGGGGTTTGGCTGTGTTCTGATTGGTTGGGGGGTTAGCCGTGTTCTGATTGGTTGGAGGCGTGTTCTGTTCAGGTGGGGGCTTGGTTGTGCTCAGGTTAGTCTTAGTTGCTGGGGGATTTGAGCTGGTGAGTTGTGATCTTGCTGTTTGGCTTCGAGTTCGTGGTCCTTCTGCATCTTCATAGTGGGTGTCGGTTTGCTTCATGTATGGCTCGGAGGGGTTTGAAGTGGGTAGTGATGCAGCTGCCGTGCAGCTTCTGGTCCATGGTCGTGTCTCATCTTCTGAGTGGGTGGGAGTCTGTTTTCTACATGGAAGTGTGGTGGTGGCATCTTGTGTGGCTCTCATGGGTGTGGGTCTGGTGTCCTTCTTCATGTTAGGTACTCGTCTGTTCATGAGGGCGGGTTTCCAAATGGCTGGAAGGCGGGAGGTGTCATCTCGTTTGTTCATGCTGTGTGGGCGTTTTTCTATCTCTATGGCTTCTCTGATTATTCTGCTGTTGAAGTGTTCGGTTTTGGCGATAGTTCTGGTATTTTTAAAATCAATTTCATGTCCTGTGGCTTTGAGGTGTTGGACCAGGGAAGAGGTCGTTTCTTCTTTTTTGATTGAGTTCTTATGTTCTTCAATGCGTGCA